CTGCCCCCCTTCAAACCCCCCAAACAGAAGGGGACACATCCTCCTTCTGGTAACCCCCTGATGTATCTTTTGAATTATGGGTGGCTCCGAAAAAGTGCTCACTTTTTTTAGCAACATTTCTCAAACGAAAACATGCGTTTGGGGTCCAAATAGGACATTTTTTTCTCTATTTGAGGCCTAAAATGGGGGGGGGGAGGGTGGTCTAAAGTGTGTTGTTTTGCGTAAATATGAGGTAAAGGGTTAACACTGTAGAGGCTACTGTTTTTATGCTCCCAAAGGGTGAGCATATAGTCACCGCTTTGTCTGTCTGTCCATCCGCTTTTCTTGTCTGGGACCTAACTTTGAAACAACAAGAGGTGTCAACATGAAACTTTGTAGGTAGATAGATCTCATTGAGTAGGTGTGCAGTGCACAAGAACTGTAACTCTACCTTGCCTAATTTTTGTGTCGCCTCTACAGAGTAGTGGCGACATATAGGGATCACTTCTCCGTCGTCTGTCTGTCCGTCTGTCTGTCTGTCCGTCTGTCCGTCCGTCACAAAACTTGTCGGACTACTCCTCATAAACTACTGGTGCAATTTCATCCAAACTTTACAGGAATGATCAGTACCAAGTCTAGTTGTGCATATTGTCAGGATTTTCCGGTTCAATGATTTTTGTCAGAGTTATGGCCCTTTAATAATTTTTAATTTTAAAGTTTGTCCGGACTACTTCTCTTATACCACCAATGCAATTTCAATGAAACTTTACAGGATTGATCTGTAGCTCAAGTCCTTGCGCATATTGCACGGGTTTTCCGGTTGAATGATTTTTGGCCAAGTTATGGCCCTTTGATAAAAAGGTTTCTTTTTCTGTGTGTTGCCAGATACACAAAAGCTTGTCCGGACTACTCCTCATAAACTACTGGTGCAATTTCATCCAAACTTTACAGGAATGATCAGTACCAAGTCTAGTTGTGCATATTGTCAGCATTTTCCGGTTAAATGATTTTTGTTTGAGTTATGGCCCTTTAATAATTTTTTTTTTTTTAAAGTTTGTCCAGACTACTTCTTTTATACCACTTATGCAATTTCAATGAAACTTTACAGGATTGATCTGTAGCTCAAGTCCTTGCGCATATTGTACGGGTTTTCCGGTTGAATGATTTTTGGCCGAGTTATGGCCCTTTGATAAAAAGGTGTTTTTTCTGTGTGTTGCCAGATACGCAAAAGCTTGTCCGGACTACTCCTCATTGAATTATTGCCCTTTGTTTATTTTTACACTTTGAACTTTGCCTGGGACATAACTCTAAAACTATTAGAGGTATCAACATGAAACTTTGTAGGTAAAGTTGAAATTGGATGTGTGCGTGCATATGCATGTGTGTGTTATATCACAGGACCTTGAAATTCTGTTAATAAAAAAACAGTATTTCAAGGTCCTGTGGTTATATATATTATAGAGTGAACTTAAAAGATCTTCTTGTGAAAAACCACGTGTCCAATTCAACCAAACTTAGCAATGTTTCTCCTTGGGTGAAGGTTTTCCAAAGTCATTCAAAGAATTTGTTTCTGTGCAGAAATATTGTTGCCATGTCAACCAAAAGAAAATATAAGAATACATTTATTTTCCTTGTAAAGACCCAAATGCCTAGAGCATAGATATTTTGCATAAGGCATTGTCTAGTAGATCTCTACCAAGATTGTTCATATTATAGCTCTGGGGATAAAATTGGCCCCGCCCAGGGGGTCATTGATTTTCATGATGTACATATAGTAAAAACTTAAAAAATCTCATTGTCTGAATTTACAAGGCTAAGAGCTATGATATTTGGTATATGATATCATCTGTATTGGTTTTCTTTATACATGTATATATATAGTTAAAACTTAAACAATCTTTTTTTCTGAATTGACAAAGACAAGAGATTAGATATTTTGAAACATTGTGTAGTGGACCTTTACTAAGATTGTTCAAATTGTAGCCCTTGGGTCAAAACTCACCCCACCCTGTGGGTCATTGATTTTCATCATGTACATATAGTAAAAACAGAAACTAAAACAAATGTTTTCTGAATAGGAGAAAGCTAGAGCTAAAATATTTGACATGAAACATTGTCTGGTGGATCTGTATCAAGATTGTTTAAATTAAACCCTTGAGTCAAAATTTTGCCCTGCCCATGGGGACACATTGACCTCCTTTCTTGTTCTTTGATGTACAGCCATGAAATTTGGACCATGTGCACAATTGAACTCTGTTAACAGCTGACCTAGAATTTGATGGTGTGACCTACTTTCTTGTCCTTTGATGTATAGCCATGAAATGGGACCATATGTACAGTTTGAGATGTAAAATTGAGTTTTGATATCAGCTGACCCAGATTTTGACAAGTGACCTACTTTCTTGTCCTTTGATTTACAGCTATGAAATTTGGAACATGTGCACAATTGAACTTTGTTATCACCTGACCTAGATTTTGATGGTGTGACCTACTTTCTTGTCCTTTGGTGTACGGCTATGAAATTTGGACAATGTGCACAGATTAAGATGTAAATTAATCTTTGATATCAGCTGACCTAGATTTTGACAAAGTGACCTACTGTCTTGTCCTTTGATGTATAGCTATGAAATTTAGGCCATGTGCACAGTTTTAAATAGTAAAATGAATTTTGATATCAGCTTTGTCATTTATTTATTGAATGGTTGAGTCCAATTTTAAAGGGAGGGAAATAAATTTTTTATGTATGTTTATAACTGTTGGAAGTTTAACTTATAAATAGAAATTTAACTTCATAACAAATATTAAAATCTTTCACACACTTCTTCTTGTAAGTATTAACAGAGACATAGATAACAGAAATAGGTTACTTCCTAGCCAGTTGAGATATCACACATGCTTGCTAGACTTAAAACTTGTAAAAAGTAAAACTTATTAACAAGATATCAAAATCATTAAAATAATAAATTTTCTGAAAACTTATACATTTGTCTATTTCTGCAGGTAAAACCATTTACAATTCCCATTTAAATAAATGATATATCAATTTTTAAAGAGAACTACTTATTAATTTTTGTTGAAAAATTATTCATATTACGAAAAAGCTGGCTCAGTGGGTATGTTCTGCTATGTTTTATTAAGTGAAAGGCAAGGAATGTTACCAGCATGTAGCAATAGATAAAAGATTTAGCTTTCAAATGGTGTATAAAATAAAAGGATCAAATGTACATAAACTATTTTTTTTTGCTACAAAATGTCTAATTATATACCCGAAAGAATTTCCGGCATATTATGTTATACCCCCTGGCGTCCATCTGTCCGTTAGCAATCTGGTTTCCGGAGCATAACTTAAGTTCCATTTGGCCCACAGTATTCAAACTTCATAGGATGATTGCCCATATTGGGTAGAAGACCCCTATTGATTTTGGGGTCACAAGGTCAAAAGTCAAGGTCACTATTACCCTAAAACTGAAAATGGTTTCCAGAGCATAACTTAACTTCCATTTGGCCCACAATTTTCAAACTTCATAGGATGATTGTACATATTGGGTAGAAGACCCCTATTGATTTTATGGTCACAAGGTCAAAGGTCAAGGTCACTATTACCGTAAAACTGAACAGGAGCATAACTTAAGTTCCATTAGGCCCACAGTATTCAAACTTTATAGGATGATTGCCCATATTGGGTAGAAGACCCCTATTGATTTTGGGGTCACAAAGTCAAAGGTCAAGTTCACTATTACCCTAAAACTGAAAATGGTTTCCGGAGCATAACTTAAGTTCCATTTGGCCCACTGTATTCAAACTTCATTGGATGATTGTCCATATTGGGTAGTAGACCCCTATTGATTTTGGGGTCACAAGGTCAAAGGTCAAGGTCACTATTAGCTAAATACTGAAAATGGTTTCCGGAGCATAACTTAAGTTCCATTTGGCCCACAGTTTTCAAACTTCATTGGATGATTGTCCATATTGGATAAAGACTCTTATTGATTTTGGGGTCACAAAGTCAAAGGTCAAGGTCACTATTACCCTAAAACTGAAAATGGTTTCCTCACCATAACTTAAGTTCCATTTGGTCCATAGTTTTCAAACTTCATAGGATGATTGTCCATATTGGGTAGAAGACCTCTATTGATTTTGGGTCACACAGTCAAAGGTCAAGGTCACTATTACCATATAACTGAAAATTGTTTTTCGCAGCAGAACTTAAAATCCATTTGGCTTACTGTTTTCAAACTTCATAGGATGAGTGTCCATATTGGGTAGAAGACCCCTATTGATTTTGGGGTTACAAGGTCAAAGGTCAAGGTTACTATTAGCTTAATACTGAAAATGGTTTCCAGAGCATTACTCTAGTTCCATTTGGCCCACAGTATTCAAACTTCATGGGATGATTGTCCATATTGGGTAGAAGACCCCTATTGATTTTGGGGTCACAAGGTCAAAGATTAAGGTTACTATCATCTTTAAACTGGAAACAGTTTTCGTTCAATAACTCAAGCATTAATCAACCTACAGCTGTAAATTTTATAGGATTAACAGCTTTATACCCCTGACGTCTTTTCGTCCATCTGTTATAGCATTTTTACTTACAAGATAACAACTTGATAGTGGTGTTTTGAACACAGCAACTGTATATATACATAAATGTTCTTCAGCTATAAAGGAGGATTGCTTTTTGAAGGAGGTAATACTGTATTTAATTCCCATGTCTTACAAATGCTTCATCCTTACTCAAAGAAAAAGTACTTTCAGGCATAATGCTCTGCCTAGCGGTGCTCTTGTTTTTCACATTTGATAGGCATGAGTGATATTTTAATGGAGTATATAGGAGCTGCTTATCTCTGTTATCTATATCTCTCAGACTCTGGTATTAGCCAGTATTTGGCAGGGCTTGTGTTTACTGCGACACATTGAGAAAATCAGGGAATTGAACTTTGACGCATTAAAGTTCTACTGTATGTGGTATAACATTCTAAAGGGTTGGCCATATCAAATATATACTGTTTAACAAACTTCAGGGTTGACTATGTTGATGCATTTGGTCGAGCAAGGCGCTGTTTAACGAAAGATCTTCCGGATATACAAAGACAGGATGGAATTCTTCAAGTTATAAAGAGGTAGATTTTCGTTCCCTTTTCTAGCTCACCAGAACCGAAGGTTCAGGGTGAGCTATTAGTATCAAAGGGGATGCTCAGTCGTCATGTGAAAACATTCATCTTCTTCTCTGAAACCGCTTGGTAGATTTACTTTCAGCAAGTGCATTTGAAAAACAGTTGTTTCTGGTGAGTGATTCAGAGCCATCATGGCCCTTTTGTATTATTAACCAGGTTTTCTGAAGGAAAAAACTAGCTATTAGATTGAGGTTTGTCCGCAGGTGGGTGTTAATAATTTCTTCTGTGAGCAACATTTCTCAAGGAATTTTGACGAAACTTTCAAAGTCATCAAGTGCCTTCGCACATATTGTCGGGTTTTGGGAGACATATTGTTTTTGCCTTTGCATTCTGTCCGTAATTATTGTCACACTTTGTGTTCGGTCATTTATCAAAGGCATTTGAAATAACTTTGCACAAATGTTTGTTATAACAAGACAATGTGTCATGCACAAAACTGGACCCCTACCTCCAAGGTCAAGGTCAAACTTGTTGATTAAACGTCAACATTGTCTATTTGAGGGTATATGTTATGTCCCGTCCATTTATTGCCTATCCATGAAGGGATTGAAACAAATGTTCACAATAATAATACAATATGTCAACAACCATTCGCTACCTCTAATGTCAGGGTAACTGTTGGAGGTAAAAGATTAAAATAGTTCGTTACAGGGTATATTTTGTGCCCGGTGCATAACTTCTTCATAGATCAAGGGATTTTGAAATTATTTGCTACAAATGTTCAAAATAATAAGATGATGTGTCATGCCCAACACCCAGACCTCTACCTTTGAAGGTCAAGGTCATGACACTTGTAAAACAGGTCCCCCCCCTTTTGCTGATGTTGGTCTGTCTGTCTGTCTGTAGACCACATGGTTTCCGCTGATTATCTTGTAAATGATTTATCACAAAGTCTTCATATTTCACATACATAGTGATTGGTCATAACTAGTAGATATTGATTTCAGGGTCACTAGGTCAAAGGTCAAGGTCACAGGGGCCATAAATGTGAAAATGGTTTCCACTGATTATCTTGAAAAGTATTCATCACAAAGTTGTCATACTTCACATAGTCATTGGTCATAACTAGTCAATGACCTTATAGATTTTGGGATCACTAGGTCAAAGGTCAAGGTCACAGGGGCCATAAATGTCAAGATGGTTTCTGCTGATTATCTTGAAAAATATTCATCACAAAGTGGTCATATTTCACATGGTGATTGATCATAACTAGTAGATGACCCGTACTGAGTTTGGGGTCACTAGGTCAAAGTCACAGGGGCCTTAAATGCAGAACAGTTTTCACTGATTATCTTGAAAAGTATTCATCACAAAGTCTTCATATTTCACATATTGATTGGTCATAGATAGAAGATGACCTCTTATGATTTTGGGGTCACTAGGTCAAAGGTCAAGGTCACAGGGGCCTTAAATGTCAGAATGGTTTCCGCTCATTATCTTGGTTACAATTCATCACAAATTCTTCATATTTCACATATTGATTGGTCATAACTAGTAGATGACCCCTATTGATTTTTGGGTTACTAGGCCAAAGATCAAAGTCACAGAGGCCTTGAATGTTTAGATGATTTCCGCTTTTTATCTTGGTTACTATTTTTCACAAAGTCTTCATATTTCACATATTGATTAGTCATAACTAGTGGATGACCCTTATTGATTTTTGGGTCACCAGGTCATGGTCAAAGGGTCTTTGAATGGTAGAGGATTTCGGCTCATTATCTTGAAAAGTAATTATCACAAAGTCTTCATATTTCACGTAGTGATTGGTCATAAGCAACAGATGATCCGTATTGCTTTTGGGGTCACTAGATCACAGGGGCCTTAAATGTCAGAATTGTTTCCTCTTATTATCTTGAAAACTATTCATCACAAAGTCTTCATATTTCTAATATTGATTGATCATAACTAGTAAATGTCCCCTATTGATTTTGTGGTCACTAGGTCAAAGGTCAAGGTCACCCTCCTTCCATCTTATGTCATTCTGTCATTATGCATCATCAGTTTCCGTTCATTATCTTAGTAACGGTTGTACGCATTTAACTGAAATTTGGCATATGATATGTTATGAGAAAATACAGATGAAGTTTGAATTTTGTCATGGTTCGATGATTTTTGGCTGAGTTATGCCCCTTTCACTTTGAAAATTATATGAAATTTTCAGTTTCTGTTCATTATCTCCCCAACGTTATTACACATTCAACTCAAACTTGACATATGGATATGTCATGAGAAAATACAGGTCAAGTTTGAATTTTGTCATGGTTCGATGATTTTTGTCAGAGTTATGCCCCTTTTACTTTGAAAATAATATGAAATTTTCAGTTTCCGTTCATCTCCCCAACGGTAATACACATTCAACTCAAACTTGACATATGAATATGTCATGAAAAAATACAGGTCAAGTTCGAATTTGGTCATGGTTTGATGATTTTTGGCTAAGTAATGCCCCTTTTACTTTGAAAAGAATATGAAATTTTCACTTTCCGTTCATTATCTCCCCAACGTTATTACACATTCAACTCAAACTTTACATATGGATATGTCATGCGAAAATACAGGTCAAGTTCAAATTTTGTCATGGTTCAATGATTTTTGGCAGAGTTTTGCCCCTTTCACTTTGAAAATAATATGAAATTTTCAGTTTCTGTTCATTATCTCCCCAACGGTATTACACATTCAACTCAAATTTGACATATGGATATGTTAAAAGAATGCAAAGGACATGTTAGAAATTGGTCATGACATGGTTCAATGACTTTTGGCAGAGTGATATCCCTTTCATTTTGAAAATAATATGAAATTTTCAGTTTCCATTCATTATCTCCTCTAGGGTATTACTCATTCAACTCAAATTTGACATATGGATACGTCAAAGAAATGCGCAGGTCAAGTTTGAATTTTGTCATGGTTCGATGAATTTTGGCAGAGTGATGCCCCTTTTACTTTGAAAAAAAAGAAGGAAATTTTCAGTTCACATTCATTATCTCCCCAACAGTTGTACATATTCAACTCCAGTTAAAGATATTGATATGTCATAAGAATGCATTGGTCAATTTCGAATTTGGTCATGGTTTAATGATAGCTGACAGAGTTATCCCTCTTGAACTTTGAAAAAAAATCAGAAATTTAAAGTTTCCTTTCATTATCTTGTCAATAGTTGTACACATTCAAACTCAAATTTGACATATAGATACATCCTAGGAATAAGCAGTTCAAGTTTGAATTTGGTCATGGCTCAATGATTTTGGACAAAGTTATCTTTGTCAAGTTTCATAACTCTGTATTGCATTTGGACAAAGTTATGCCCCTTTTTAAGTCTTTAAATTTACATACAATCAATACTAGACAATATGTTGTGTCCGCTCTATAAATTCTATACTAATTGAAAGATTTTCTTCAAACTTTACTCAAATGTTCATCCCAACACAAAACACATCTTACCCTTGTGCAAGCTTAAGGTCAAGGCCACACTTGAAGGTCAAAAATTGACTTATAACATGTTAAGTACATTGGGAAAATGAAAGGTTATTTGTAACTGTTTCGAACATGATTTGATAATATATATTTATACTATTACCTGTACAATCTTTTTTTCAGCAGAGATAATTTTTATGCCCCCGCCATGTAATGGCCGGGGCATATAGTGTTACCCTGTTCCGTCATTCCGTCCTTCCGTCCTTCCGTCCTTCCGTCCTTCCATCCTTCCGTCCTTCCGTCCTTCCGTCATTCTGTCATTCCGTCATCATCAGTTTCCGTTCATTATCTTAAGAACGGTTGGGCATATTCAACTCAAATTTGACATATGGATATGTCATGAGAAAATACAGGTCAAGTTCGAATTTGGTCATGGTTCGATGATTTTTGGCAGAGTTATGCCCCTTTTACTTTAAAAATAATATGAAATTTCAGTTTCCGTTCATTATCTTAAGAACGGTTGGACACATTCAATTCAAACTTGACATATGGATATGTCATGAGAAAATACAGGTCAAGTTCGAATTTGGTTATGGTTCAATGATTTTTGGCAGAGTTATGCCCCTTTTACTTTGAAAAAAATATGAAATTTTCAGTTTCCGTTCATTATCTCCCCAATGGTACAACACAATCAACTCAAACTTGACATATTGATATGTCATGAAAAAATACAGGTCAAGTTCGAATTTGGTCATGGTTCGATGATTTTTGGCAGAGTTATGCCCCTTTTACTTTGAAAATAATATGAAATTTTCAGTTTCCATTCATTATCTCCCTCAAGGTACAACACATTCAACTCAAACGTGACATATGGATGCGTCAAAGGAATGCGCAGGTCAAGTTCAAATTTGGTCATGGTTCAATGATTTTTGGCAGAGTTATGCCCCTTTCACTTTGAAAGTAATATGAAATTTTTCAGTTTCCGTTTATTATCTTCCAATGGTACAACACATTCAACTCAAATTTGACATATGGAAATGTTTTTGGAATGCTCAGGTCAACTTCAAATTTGGTCATGGTTCAATGATTTTGGCAGAGTAATGCCCCTTTCACTTTGAAAATAATATGAAATTTACAGTTTCTGTTCATTATCTACCCAACAGTGTCACATATTCAACTTTAATTTGACATATGGATATGTCAAAGGAATGGGCAGGTCAAGTTGGAATTTGGTCATGGTTTGATGATTTTTTGGCAGAGTTTGTCTCTTTCACTTTGAAAATAATATAGATACATCTTAGGAATAAGCAGTTTAAGTTTGAATTTGGTCATGGTTCAATGATTTTAGACAAACTTATCTTTCCTGAATGTTGGAAAAATTTTGAACTTTCAGTTTCACCACTCATTCTTTTAGCCATTATTTTGGCTGCAAATATGCAATATGCTATTTCTAAAAGGTTAAGACTGAATAATTTCAGTGCCTTGAACATTGTATGGAAATGGTTTGTGTTAACATTGAAAAGTTTTAAGGGCTTTGAACTTAAAATGAAAAAAATAATTAATGCACCATCTGAAATTTTGGCTGCATGCGGGGGCATCCGTGGCATGATGACACATTTCTAGTTTTTAATGTATTTGTGCCTCTTTAGTTATTCCCTTAACCACCTTTCCAAGTCGTCTTCTGTCAAGGACATTGTTGGGGGTATGAATCACATTCAGCGATAGTTCTAGTTGATTTTGGGGTCAAGGGATCAAAGATGAAGGTTGGATTGACCTTGTAGTTTAAAATGGTTTTTCGATCAATTACTTGACAAGCTATGGGCTGTTGGCCCTCAAATTTTGTAGGTGCATTGGTCTTGGCCAGTAGATGACCCTATTGATTTTGGGGTCAGGGGGTCAAAGGTCAAGGTTGCATTGACCTTGTATTTCAAAATGGTTTTCTACCAATAACTCAACAACTCAAGTTGCCTTGGTTGATATTTTTTATTAAACTAAAAATCCTTTTGGTATACACATTTTAAGGTCTTATGTAATATAACAACTTGTCTGTCATTAATGAGGCCTACATGATTCATAAAATTTATGCATATATTATTTGGTAAGATTTGTAATATCTTTGTCATAAAACTGCTGCACACAACCTTTGCAGTCACAATTACCTAGTGACTGATCATGACCATTAATTAATCCTTATTGATTTTTGGTCAAAAATCAGTCGTAATAACCTGATTTAATGACTTATTGGCTGCCGATATGGGGCATACATGTTTTACAAACATATCTCGTTATGTTAAAGTTTTAAGAAATTGCCATGCTATGTACTTGTAAAGCATCTTTAAATAACTAATTTGGTAAACAGTGATTTGCAAGCTGTATTGCCAGGTACATAGGGCTCTTCCTTCATCAATTATTTCACAAATGTTGTTTTATGACAGTGTTTTTGTGTGGCATAAAAACCCATACCACAACATGACAAAGTTGAAAGAAAATTTGTCCAGTATTCTTATCTGATGCAAGCAACTTGAACTTAATTGCATAAAAACATGATAGTGCAGGTGCAGAAATGAGGAATTTCTAAACACTTGTAATGCCAATCAATTTACTGCAAAACTGTCTAATAGAGAACAAGATTAATTGTATCTGGTGAAACAACAAATAAAATAATGTTCTGATATTTTTTTTTAATCAAGGGGGAAGAGTGAAGATATTCTAAATTCAATGTCTAAAGAAATGATACATGAGATGGAAAGACAAAAATGTGAAAAAGAGGAGATGGAGAGAATGGAAGAGGAGAAACAAGGGCCCATACATTATTCTGATGTACAACACAATGGTATGCAAGGGTATATTTTTAAAGTTCCAATATTTCATTCAGTAATTAGTATGTTTCGGCCGTCCGTTGGTTTTTCCTTGTCCCCCAAATAACTTATGATAATCTTTTGACCCACAGTCTTTATATTTGGTATATAGATTGGTCATGATTAGTAGAAGACCCCTATTGATTTTGAGGTCACCAGGTCAAAGGTCAAGGTCACAGGGGCATTGACTAAGATTTTTTTTCCACCCAATCACTTAAGATTCCTTTGACCCAAAAGTTTCATATTTGCCATGTAGGTTAGTCATGATTAGTAGATGACCCCCCCCCCCTATTGATTTTGAGGTCACTGGGTCAAAGGTCAAGGTCACTGGGGCCTTGACTTAAAAAACGTTTGTCTGCCCAATAACTTCAGAATCATAAAACACCCCCAGACAAAGCCGCATGAATGGGGGTGGGGTTTTCAAGTCATGCAGATGCAGTTTCTGTTTTGAGGTCGGTAGGTCAAAGTAAAGGTCACTTATCTTTGCCGCTAAAACCATGTAGAATACATAACTTAGCAGTGCACTAGCTTACTAACCTCAGATTTGGCAGGGAGGTTGTCCTTGAGCTCTAAATGACCACTATTGATTCTGACAAAGTGGTATGCAGGGATATTCATGCCATGACAGTGGCAGCTCTAGTTTGTAACAGCCTCTTAAAACACATATGGCAAACTTTGACTAGAGAATTGTAAGTAATGTCATAAGTTTGAGGATAATGCACTGATACTGGAGTTACTTTATTCCAGGAGAAACAACTATTCCTTTAGGCACATTTCTTACAGTTTTCAATGTTTTATGTACACAGAATGATATCTGTTCCTAAGTATTTATTTAAACTTTGCATGATCTTCAAATATGGTTAAGTAATAATTTGGTGTCACCCATCTCACTTTTGAGTCTTTAACATTGAAATGCAAAGCACCAATACATAGGATGTCATTATTCACCCAAAGCATTTTCACTTATAATGTTATGCACCTGGTTGCCCATCTGTTACAATTTCATGTCTGGTCTGTATCTTTTGAATCGGTAGAAGGAAATAGAAACTATTTGGCAGAAATGAGAGGTTGTGCAGAGCTCAGATTTGACCTCTCTCAGTCAATGCCACAGTAATTTTGTATATATTCAAAATTTAGTGTCTGCTCTATATCTTTTGAACCAATAGAGAAAAATTAAAACATTATGGCAGAAATATTACTTATAATGTTACCGAACACAGGGTTAGGCTTCGTGATGTCAAAATTGGGCCTGCTCAAAGGATAACTAGGAAAACATATTTAAGTATCATTGCGTGCAACTACAATGTAAAGAGCAAAGATGTATAGCATGTAGTATTTTATAATTAATCATTACGAAACTGAATCATGCCCCTTGGTTCAATAATGCAGTGACAGGGAAAGGATTTTTTTTGATGAGACAATATGTCTCATGTTCCAGAAAAAGTTTGAGACATTTTGGAAAATTTTGAGACATTTACATATATGAAACTCTGTCAAGCATTTGAAAAATATATATTTTGAATTTAAAAAAGATACACTTGGAATAAATGTTATAGCAATCTCCATGTTTTGGGCTAGCTTGGGGCCACAAATGCTCTGGATATGAAGCTCTTAAGCTTTAGTTTTCAAATCACGACAACATCTTATAAAATTGTATTTTTTTTCATTGTGGAAACACAAGGCAGACAGAACATGGCCCCATCTTCTACAAATAGCCATGCTCCTCAAGGTCAATATAATAAGTTTGCACCATCAAATTTGCCAATCAGAAAAAGGTGGAGCCAATAATTCTGCAAGGGAGGCATTCCTATCCTTTTTAAGATATATGCTAGCAGTTATATATCATTGTGATTACAAACACATATTTATAATATTTATAACAGCTGTGTATTATGTAAAATAGACATATAAATATGCCTATTTTGAATAACATTTAAATTATAAAATACACATGAATAGAATCAAAAACATCATTTCAAGTCAGTAATGAGGTTGCAGGGTTCCCACGCTGTCCGGGAAAACGGGAAATGTCCGTGAATTTGAAAACGCTAGCTCCCGGCCTTGAAAAGTCCGGGAATTAGTGTTGATACAGAAAAAAGTCCGGGAAGGTACGGGAATTAGTCTGGAAAAGGGGAGGTAAATCAAACAACCAAAATGGCGGTCTTAGCACAGTATATTGATTTCCGCATCTTGAATGTTGATGATTTTTCGATTTACAAGTGTTTTAAGAGGCCAATTTTGACATTTATGAGATTTAACATTTATTTTCTGGTTACTATTGCGGTTTTGTATGGAAAATCTTATAAGACAGTCACAAATCGACCTCAAGTTTGCTTGATTGGCCTGTGCTCAAAGCACATGAAAAAGATGAAAGCTCACAGGTATGGTTGTTTCCTTGGGCAATGTTTTTTATCCTAATTGCTCACAACCATGCTAAAAGCCAAAGGTATATCAAATTCAATATAAAATTAACAATAGTATTACATACAGGGCGTCCATTAATGGAAGTTTGGGAGTCATTTACTCCCTGATTTTGGTTTGTGACTTCTTTAAGGTGATTCTGCTTTGTCAGCCATTTTTGTTTTCACTATGTGGGTCCAAAGTGAAAGTAGGCCTAAATTCATATAACAACAAAGCTCACATTGTTATATGATGAGCCATTTGCAAGTACACTTCCAATTCTATGTTTTAAAGACTATTTTAAACAAAAATAAAAATGATAACAATAAGAAAAATTACCTTGAATGTGCTTCATTTCTGAAGACCAAAAACAGTCTGTTGCAAAGTTTTATGCACATTTCATGAATGGCAAAATCCTTTTTAAAGTCTGTTTTAGTGCCTACAAAAGCTACTTTTTGCAGAACATACAAAAAACTTTAAAAAATATAAACCTTAGGAAATTAGTTTATCTGACTTTGAAAAAACATGGCCTCCATGTCATGTGAAATAAGTAGTACCATGAAAATAAAAATAATTTACCTATTTCTTCTGAACATGACAAACAGACACACTTCACTGTTACACAATAAAAAGTTTAGATTTTAAAGTCTGATTGTGTTTTCATTTTGATTGTAGTTCATAAGGCTATAAATGGTGATTGTCTCCTTGCACTACTTTTTTACAAAAAATAATGGAGGCCATGTGCTTAGAAGGACATGAGATATGGATTTATTTGGAGTTAAGTTTTGAAAGATTTTTGTATTTGCTGCAAAAAATAGCTTTTGTAGGCACTAAAACAGACTTAAAAAAGGATTTTGCCATTCATGAACTGTGCATAAAACTTTGCAACAGAATGTTTTTGGTCTTCAGAAAAGTAGCACATTCAAGGTAAATATTCTTATTGTTATCATTTTTATTTTTGTTTATAATTGTCCTTCAAATATAAACCTGGAAGTGTACTTTCAAATGGTTCATCATTTTAAAATAAGAGCTTTGTTGTTATATGAATTTTGGCCTACTTTCACTTTGGACAGACTTTGTGAAAACAAACATGGCTGACAAAGCGGAATCACCTTAAGTTCTACTTTTCCTTCTTTACCTATATAATGTGACTTCCAATATCAGAGATTTTGCAGTGTCTGACTTCCAAATTTTGGAACTTAGTGGAAGCCCTGATTACATACATGAACTATTGTAAAGGCAGAGCACAGCCAATTGGCCACACGGGTAGCACGAAATACCTAAGTATAGCCAATATATACTAAAAATAATGTGTTGTACTAATAAAATTGTGTTTTAATCATGAATACAATATACAATTTCACTAAGATGTAATCAAACATACCCAAATATACATTTTTGAACACCGCCCCCCTCCCGTAGCACTGACTTAAGCAGAATACAACATTTAAACATGAAAGTTGTGAAATTTTGAATGTCGAATCACCTGCAGGCAGTTTTCATAATTTTACCCTTCAGTGTGACATGCTTTTGCCATTCTTTGAAGCCTTTAAGTGGACTGAGGTCAAATGTGTGGTAACTTATTTAATAAGTACTATGAATATCTGGTCAAAAAGTGATCCCTTGAAACATTAAAAACAGCAAAATTACATGAAAATGGCACACAACCTGCAAAAACAGTTTCTGTCACAAAGTACATTTCATTATTTATAGACACTGAATGTATTTCTTAGATAGAGTTAGATTTATGTCATGAACTATATGTATTATATTGGTGTTGCTAAACATTACCATGAACATATTCAAAGGACAAAAAAAATCAAATAGCTTGAAATTTTATCTTCTAAAAAGTCCTTAAAAAATCAAAAAAGGTCCTTGATAAGTCCTGGAAAAGTCCTTAAATTTTCAAAATATCTAAGAGTGGGAACCCTGAGGTTGGGAAGTCCTCAATTGCCTAAACTATAGCAGTTACTGTATGTCTTTTTGGCTGAAATGAGCTTTCCTGCTTCAACTGGCCATTCTGGTGATCTACAAATACAAAATAAATAAATAAATTACTATAAAATTGACTTCATCTAAAATCAGTCAAAAAAATTAAACAGATATGAAATACTTTTTAACAATGAAGAATATTATTTTTTTAATAGGTTTTGTGACTGGACACTTCAGCACTTTACATTTATAAATAATTTCATATTTGAAAGTATTAACATTATTAACACAGTAAACAGTGACTTTTAATCGGTCATTAATGAAATTTTATTATAATTGTCAAACTGATTTAAATATTTCAAACTGTTATTATTTTTTATCAGTAGACAGTCAACATACCTAAACTTAAACAACATCACGGATGATCTTTCATCTCTCTAATTCAGTACTAAAACCTTTTGACCACACAATTCCCTCATGTATTTATCAGTGTTCCAAGTTGGAGGATGAAAACATAAATTATTCCAACTAACATAATGTCACTTTAATCTGACATATTCCCGAAGTGTAAACAAACAATCATGCATGACCTTTCACATTTGGGCCGCTTATGTAATTTACAGGGCAGCTTATTGATTTTAAA